AATCAACATGAGAAAACAAGTTCAAAAGATAGAAAGAAAAACTAGTAAGCTTGTCGTCGATCTTCTCTTCTTCTCAATTGCTTCTCTTGCGTGTTCTCTGACTCTCTCCTAGCGTAATCATGTTCTTCGGCTCAAGATCAGGTAAATAGGTCTTTTTATATGTCCAAAAGTCCTCTCCTAAGCGAAAAAGGTAAGCGATTAAAAAACAGCCCGCGTCGCGACACGACCTGACATGCCCGTGTCACAGGTCGTGTCACGGGTCGTGTCAGGTATAAGTCCTCCTTTGCTGTCTGTTGAGGTGACACGGGCCCAGACACGGCCTGGAAGCCTGTGTCATCACCCGTGTCACATACAAATGCCCTCATTTTTGGCTCGTTTCTCTCGTTTCTTCCATTCCTTTCATCCGTGCATCGATCTATCATTATCCCGGGGGTTTTAGGCACTCACCATGCTCCTCCAATAGCCAAAGCTCTACAAATATGTGGAAATATCTACAAAACGAGCACGTGTAATACCTTTCCAACAATTATAGAATTAAAGCACAAATGTGCAATTTATACACCACAAATGCAACAATTAAGCTCTAGATACTATATGAATATGGTGTAAAATCGCACATGAACAAACCCCCAAACTTAAACCATTGATAGTCTCGATCAATGCATCAAACTCATATCAACACACAAGTAGAAGTAATCACACTCTCAAAGTCAATCATACACATTATCAATAGACATCGGGCAAGTAACATACTAAATTCCAGAATTTTTAAACAAAAAGAATGCTTCATCAAACTCATGGTCAATGCTTTCAATCCACAAACCTCACCGGAAAAGTGTATACTCTCACTCTCAAAAGTATATAGGAAAAATAATCGCTCAAATCAATTCAATGTCAAAGAATTACCATAAGCTTGCAAATCGTCTACTATCTCCACCATCTATTGTGCATGCACTTCATGAATCAAAAAGGACTTTTATTTGGTTGCAATGTAGGCTCTTTGGTTAGGGTAGGAAATATATGGATAAAGTGACGAAACTCGAGCATCTAGAACTACAAAACATGAACTACACCATTTCATCACCCACCACACAAAATC